TGGAACTGGCCAGTCCCCCTGCTTCCCAGATGAGCTGTTGCTGCCTTGGCCATCCTCACCGTCTGTTCCCCCCCCCCTCAGGCTGGACTATTGTGACGAAGCGGTGAAGGACCCTGAGCAGGACCTACCTGTTGACATCCACCAGCCTCCGCCATTCGTGCACAAGATCCTGCAGCTGAGCGGTGTCCTGTTCTACTATGAGGATTTCTCGGAGGGGAGTGGCTCTGCGCCATCCCCTGTCCCAAAGGTATGTCCACGTGGGGCTGACCCAAAGCCAGACACCCCCGCTCCTCCCACCAACTCCGGGCCCTTCCGATTTATCCATCCCCAGCCGGCTGTGAGGGGTGGGAGTCATGGTCTGGTCCATTCAGGTAGGGCTGGAACCCCCCATCATTCTTGCCACGGCCGTAGGCTCGCTCTGTTTAGAAACGCCCTGATCTTCTCCCGCTCACTCAGGAGGAAGCGGAGCCATCTGCCTGCCGAGAAGAGGAGGCCTCCTCCAGCCCTTTGCTTCAGATCGGCAGCTGCTCCGGATACACAGAGATGAGAATCAAGCTGAAGCAGAATGAGGCCTTTCCCGGACCCAAGGTCAGCCAGACAGAGGTCGTTGGTTCATTGGCTAGGTTCCTTATCAAGCTTTTTCTCCAAAGAGCTCCGAGCAGCTTGCCATGTTCCTTGGCAGCAAGACTCTGCAAAGGGGGTTAAGCCACCTGGGTCGCTTTTGGGAGTTTGAACCCAAGGCGTCTCAGTCTTTGTCTAACCTGCTAGTCCCACGGCAGGGACAGCCGACACGTGTGGTCTTCCAAAAGCTGTTGGGCTGGAGCTCCTCGATGCATTGACCTCTGAGGGGGATGGGACTAGCAGCCCAGTGGCATCAGGCGAGCCTCAACTTAGGCCACCCTCCTGTGCTAGGCCCCACGCGGACTCTCCACTCTGAGGACGGGCGGACGGCGCCCCTCAGCTTACGTTTACAAGTTTTTTCTGGGAGATCTAGATCTCTTGGAGGAGCAGAAGGTGGAGAAATTACTTTTCAGCCGTGCCGGCCAGGGGTTTG